AAGATTTTATTTATTTATTTGAGAGAGAGAGAGGGCACAAGCAGGGGGAGCGGCAGGCAGAGGGAGAAGCAGGCTTCCCGCGGAGCAGGGAGCCCGATGCGGGGCTCGATCCCAGGACCCTGGGATCATGACCTGACCTGAAGGCAGATGCTTAACCGACTGAGCTGCCCAGGCTCAGTTTTGATTTGCATTTAAAAAATTATTAGCGAGGCCGAGTTTTTTGCTCTGTGACCTGTTTATTCTTATCCTTTGCCCGTTCTTCCACTGAGTTGTTGGTCTTTCTCAAGCTCAGCTGCATAAACTCATAGTAAATGAGCAATTTGTCCTTTGTCACATTTGTTACAAATATTTCTCCTACTTTGTCATGTGACTTTAGTTTTAGCCTTCTATGCTATACAAGCATTTTTAAGTTTGTGTGTTCAAATTTATTTCTTTTTCTTCCTGGGTCTGAGTGCATTTGTTTTATAATTTAAAAAAAAATTCAATTTGTGTCTGTGTATGTATGTGTATGACAGAGAGAGAGAGAGAGACAGAGAGAGAATGGTAAATGGCCATTAGGGGAAAGCCTATGGCCGAACCTTTCCCTGGGGATGTTTCCAGCTCCCAGGCCACGTGGCCCCATCAGTGTCCATCAGTGGCTTCGATATTTGTAAGGGAGTGGCTTTGGAGCAGCAGTCTGGTTTGACAAGCCGGGCAGGGAATTTGTCCTGAAGCCTCTTGTGCATGCCCCGTGCCTGGCAAGCTTCTACTGCAGGTCACAAGGTTTTTTTCTTTCTTTTTCCAACGGTCAACTAACTATTCTAGTGATAATGTTTCTTCCTATGAACTAAGCAGCCTAGGGATTATATATACAGCTGACCCTTGAGCAATACGGGTTTGAACTGTGCAGGTCCACTTGTATGTGGAATTTTCTTTTTTTTAAAGTAAGCCCTACGCTCAGTAGGGGCTTGAACTCATGCCCCAGAGATCGAGTCGCATGCTCTCCTAACTGAGCCAGCCAGGTGCCTCTATATGTGGATTCTTTTTTTTTTTTTCGATAAATACCATACAGTACTGTAAATGTATTTCCTCTTATGGTTTTCTTTTCTCCCTTATGATTTTCTTAATAATGTTTCTTTTCTCTAACTTACTTTATTATAAGAATACAGTATATAACATGTATAGTATATCAAATGTTAATCGACTGTTTCTGTTATCAGTAAGACCCCTGGTCAACAGGAGGCTCTAAGTTTTTGGGGAGTCAGAAGTTCTGAGTAGATTTTCAACTGCTGGGGTGGAGGTGGGGGGCGATGTCAGTGCTTCTAGCCCCCAAGTTGTTCAAATGTCAACTATATACATGCAGTATGTGTGTATACGGAGTGTGTGTGTGTGCGCGCATGCACGTATTTGCATTTTTTCCCTTCCTATCTTTATCATCAGTCTTCACTCATAATAACTTGGGGGGACATGGATGATTCTAGAGCTAAATCCCCTTCAAAACACACTGTGGGAGCACCTGGGTGGCTCAGTCGTTAGGCGTCTGCCTTCGGCTTGGGTCACAGTCCCAGGGGTCCTGGGATCGAGCCCCGCATCGGGCTCCCTGCTCCGCGGGAAGCCTGCTTCTCCCTCTCCCACTTCCCCTGCTTGTGTTCCCTCTCTCGCTGTGTCTCTCTCTCTGTCAAATAAATAAATAAAATCTTAAAAAAGAAATAAAAATAATAAGATAAAATGTCATTTTAGGGGCGCCTGGGTGGCTCAGTCGTTAGGCGTCTGCCTTCGGCTCAGGTCATGGTCCCAGGGGTCCTGGGATCGAGCCCCGCATCGGGCTCCCTGCTTGGTGGGGAGCCTGCTTCTCCCACTCCCCCTGCTGTGTTCCCTCTCTCGCTGTGTCTCTCTCTGTCAAATAAGTAAATAAAATCTTAAAAAAAAAAAACAAAACACACTCTGCCTCCAGCCATTCCTGGTACCCCTGGTGCCTCTGTGTTTGGCAAGCACCAGTCCACACGAAGCTGCCTCCTGAGCCATTCTGTCCAGCCCAGAGCACCCTCGTGTCTTCCAAGAAATATCCCTGACTAGAGCAGTTCCGAGTAGGGCATGGGAACTGGCCCGAGACTGTAAAGCTATTCTCTTCCTTCTTGGCACAAAGGGGCTAGAGAAGCCCAGGCCAGCACAGGACAACCGAGAAAGAGAAAAACCAGGGTCCCAGGAGGAGAAAGACAAGGACCAAAGACAACCCTCCTCCCACCTCTGTTACACTAACTACAAGCCATTCATTAAAAAAAAAAAGAAGAAAAGAAAACAGTGAAAATACAGGCCTTGTTGGGAGGGGTGAAAAATTCCATTCTAAAAAAAAAAAAAATCCCGCTCTAGCTCTTCGTTTTACTTGGGCATGCGTCATGGGATACGTAACTTCACAATTGTTCAGCGACACTTCTTGGACTGAATTTCACTCCTCCCTCTTTTTTTTTTTTTTTTAAGATTTTTAATTTATTTATCAGAGAGACACAGTGAGAGAGGGAACACAAGCAGGGGGAGTGGGAGAGGGAGAACCAGGCTTCCCGTGGAGCAGGGAGCCAGACGCAGGGCTCGATCCCAGGACCCTGGGATCATGACATGAGCGGAAGGCAGACGCTTAAGGACTGAGCCACCCAGGCGCCCCTCACTCCTCCCTCTTTAAAATAAATGCATCCCTGATCTCCTTCCCTAGTTTCTCTTTCTCCCTTGGCATTCCTACCAGGAGCCCCCCTTTAGATTTTTCTTCCTTTTAGGCCAGTCTTATAGCATCCTCCAACACTGTTCATGTAATAATCTTTTCCCAATCCCGTTTAGTGGTCCTGCTTCTGTGGCATAACTAGCAAAAATGAGACACACATGCTTCATACAAACAAAGAAATGCCCTTCCCGGACAGCGAGGACATAGGGTAGATTGAGCAATGGCGGGGGGGTCTTCGGCGGGGGGGGAGGTACTTCCTGCATCCTCAGGACCCAAAGGCACCTTTGCCCCAATGCCTGAGCCTTATCCTCTGTTTCTTGGCTCCCAACTGTTCTGAATTAAGCCTGATTCTTTCCCATTTACCCTGTGAGTTCCCTAATATTCTTTCAATAAGTCCCTTTTAGCCAGAGCAGTTCTCTGAAGCGGGGGAGTGAGCACTGAGAGCTCGGCATCCAGGCACGGAGTGCAAACTTCTCGAGCTGGCCTGAGAGCTGGGCATCCAGGCAGGGAGTGCAAACTTCTTGAGCTGGCCTGGAGGTGGTGCTATTTGCATTTAGGCTAAGACATTAAGATGCAGCCAGGGAGGTAGGAACCTCACCTTGCATCTTTACACTTCGACTGATTAAAGGGGTTCATTAGTGAAAAACAGGTGAAACTGAGATAATCTTTGGAGTGGTGCAGAGAACTTTCTAAGAATGCCACCAAATTCAGAAGCTATAAAAAGACAAGATGGGACAGCCTAAAAATTTCTATGCTAAAAAAAAACAGCAAAAAAGAACAGCAAACTGAGAAATAGCAACTTCTGTGACAAAGAAATCGTTCGCTTAATATACTAAGAACTCTTGCAAATAAATTTGATTAAAACATGGGAAGAAGTATAATAATGACATCTTGCCATTTGCAACAACATGGATGGAGTTAGAGAGTATTATGCTAAGAGAAATAAGTCAGCCAGAGAAAGACAAATACATATGATCTCACTCAGAGGTGGAATTTAAGAAACGAAACAAACGGACAAAGAAAAAAAAGAGAGAGACAAACCAAAAAACAGACTCTTAACTAGAGAGAACAAGCAGCTGGTTACCAGAGGGGAGGTGGGGGGGACGGGGGGGGGGTGAAACAGGAGATGGGGATTAAGGAGTGCACTTGTCCTGATGAGCACTGTTGTATGGATTTGCTTCATTATTGTACACCTGAAACATAATACTGTATGTAAACTATACTGGATCAAAGGAAAACAAACAAACATGGGAAGCTACAATCAGTTCACAGAAAAGGAGATTAAAATCACCCAAATAAACAGAAAACCTTTCTCAAATACAAAATTTTCATGAATGTTAAATATAATATAAATAAAACAACAACAAATGTAGTCCTTTGCTTGTGCGCCTCCGATGATTGCTCTGCATAAGCATTCACAATTGTTCTATCACAGACCACCGAGAGCATGTCTCCCTCATCCTCCTATTTCCCCCTTGGGTTTCCGGACGGTTCTCACCTGTTGTCCTGCAGTGTTGGCGCAGCTACTTCTTCGAGGGCACCGACTGTGGGAAGGGCAGAGGCCGATCTCCCGCTCTCACCTCCCAGTGCTGAGACCCGCGGGGAGCAACACCGGGACCAGGGACTGACGTGGACACGTGAACAGGTGCGCCGGGGACGGCGTCCGCGCCCGGGGAGGGGACGATGGGGCAGGCTCCAAGAAGACCAGCGGGACGAAAGAATGGCAGTTCTTCCGCGGCAGAAGAGGCGGGACCGGGCGTGCCTCCCGCAGCAGGAACACCACGTGCGAAAACAAAGGGGTGTGCCAAGGCCAGGTGCGAGCGTGGACCTGCAGGTCGGGGGAGGGGGGCCGGGCTCGGGCAGCGGGGGGACTTTTCCTGGGAGGACTCCTCCCAGCTCGGGGACCGCCTTTCGGGGGGGCCTAACAACGTGCCTTGCCACACAGTCCCCGGCTGAAACGGACCTTCAAGCCCCTCCTCACAACTTTCATTTTTCATAGGCAAATCCATGGAGGCCTCAGGGAAGTGAAATGACCGGTACCAGGTCCCAACTCTGGCCAACCCTGGGGTTTTGAGGGCCAGTCCGCGGATTTGCCTGCGGCCCGCGCAGCGGCGCCCGGGCTCTCAACCCCTAGCTCCGCTCCCCGCCCGCGGGCCGGGCCGCCGCGGTGGACTACATGTCCCACAATGCCCTCGGCCCGGCCTCCCCACCCCGCCGTCGGGCTGGGGGCCGGGTTCGCCAGTAGGAGAGCAGGGTTTCCAGGGGGCGTTCTCGGTGGCCAATGAGCGCGGTGGGGGGCGGGCCTCTGCCGTCCATTGTTCTCGGTGCCCCTCGGGCTTGAGCCGCGGTGAGTCCGGAGGCGCCGGGCCGTGCCCGGGGGCGCTTTTACGCGCGGAGTGGCTGCCGGCGTCCGACCTGGTCTCCCCAGAGGTGAGCCCGGAGAGACGGGCCTGGAGCGGCGCGGGACGGGGGAGTAGCCCGCGGCGAGGGAATAACGGGCCTGGAGCCGGTGCAGGCAGCCCTGCTGGGGGAGGGGCGTCGGGGGCGCTGTCCGCGCCCGCGGTCGGGGGCCCCCAGGTTGACGCGCCCGGTCCGCTCGGCGAACGCACCCGGACCCTGCTTCGGGGCGGTGAGCTCCCTGCACATCTAACCAGGGGCGCGGGGTTGGGACTGGGAGATGGGGAAACTGAGCTTCCGAGGGGGCGTGTCTTGCCCTCGGTCAGACAGCGAATGAGCTGACCGGAAGCAGTTTTCCCGGGCTCCCAAGCAGGACTTCGGTTATACCTGTGCCCCTTCTAGCCCTTTGGTAAATACACATTGAGAGCTTCGGTGTTCCCACTAGCTTTGCTTTCTAATTCTTCTTTTTTTTCCCCCTGCCCCCCTTTTTTAAAAAGGGGGGTTATCTGAGTCTTTGTCATGTGGTAGTGATTTTTAAAACATAATTTTTCGTTGCTCTTATAGGCTTTATTTTATAAATAGTAATTTCACTGCTCCCAACATTTTGTAGAATTAACGTCCAAGTTTTGTTTTTCCTTGTGTATGTGTTCATTTTTAAACGGATTTGGGATCATACTGTGCCTGGTGTTTCTGTTTGGCTAGGTTTGTTCTTATCGGTAATTTTCATGTTTATGAAGATTATCTCAGATTATTAATGGTTAATAATCGTTGTCAGCATAATTTTTAAAAATATTTAAAGCTACATGCAGCAGCACGCACAGATCTTAAATTTCATATGTATGCTTTATGCAGCCGTCATCAAATCAAGATACAGAACATTTCCAGCACCCCAAAGACTTCTTTGAGTCCCTTCTCAGTCAGTACCCTGCCCCCAAAGGTAGCCATTATTAAATCAGCATAGTTTTAAATACATTTTACTGTGTGGTTGTGGCATAATTCATTAACCATTTCTCTGTTGCTGGATTTTTAAAATGTCGGGGTATTTTTGCAATTAGAAACAATGCTATGGTTTTGTTTCCTTGCAAATAAATTTTTCTTCAGAAAGATGGTTATTTTTAAAGATAAATTCCCAAGGGGGCCAAGGCTGCATTGAAAAGTGTGAATATTTTAGGGCGCCTGGGTGGCTCAGTTGGTTAAGCGACTGCCTTCGGCTCAGGTCATGATCCTGGAGTCCCTGGATCGAGTCCCGCAGCGGGCTCCCTGCTCGGCAGGGAGTCTGCTTCTCCCTCTGACCCTCCCCCCTCTCATGTACTCGCTCTCTCTCATTCTCTCTCTCTCAAATAAATAAATAAAATCTTTAAAAAAAAAAAAGTGTGAATATTTTAAAACTTCATACTCATATGGTAAGAATGCAGTTAAGATACTGCCTTCCTCCCAGTGAGGCTCAAAATGTTTTGACATCTGGATCCATTGCTAATCCTGAAGATATCCCCATAAGATAAGAAGAATGGGTGTTATCATCTCTACCTGTTAGATGGGCACTGAGGTTAAGGGACTGAGTTGTATGTTAGGTCAAGGTCACTCACTATGCAGCAAGTCTGAACTGATTTAGGGCAGAGTAACTTAGTCCTGGGTTCTTAGGAGGACTCTGAATTTCTGATACTCTTTCTTTTGGAAAGAAAAGTTCTGTATTTTTTTGTGCTTGTGATTCTTCATAACTTCTTTTGCCATAGAGAGAGGTTTTCAGGAGTAAGCCATTTTTCCTTTAAGAGGGACAGGAAACTTGTGTTGATTTGCGGATATAAGACTCACTTGGTGGCCTGACCTGGGCTGCTGTGAGTTAGGTCATTGTAAGACAGTCTACTTATTGATTGTGGTTCTCTTTCTCATTTCCCAGCCACACTACTTGTTGGAATTTGAGGAGGGAGGTGTCTTCTCCGTGAGCCTGGCTCTAGAAGACTGAGGTTCAAGGCTAGAAGCCTGAGGCGATTGCCCCGGGAAGGTGGATGATGGCTGCAGAGCTGCCGAGAGTAACCACCCCCCTGAGCCCCTTGGTCCAGGTGCCTCAAGAGGAAGACGAGCAGGAGGAGGTCACTACCATGATCCTGGAGGACGACTCTTGGGTGCAGGAAGCTGTATTGCAGGAGGATGGCCCCGAGTCGGAACCCTTTCCCCAGAGTGCTAGCAAGGGTAGCCCCCACGGGGAGGCCGCTGGAGGGCCACAGGGTGCACTTGGCCGCCTCCGAGAGCTCTGTCGGCGCTGGCTGAGGCCGGAAGTGCACACCAAGGAACAGATGCTGACCGTGCTACCAAGGGAAATTCAAGCCTGGCTGCAAGAGCATCGTCCTGAAAGCAGCGAGGAGGCCGTGGCCCTGGTGGAGGACTTAACCCAGACCCTTCGGGACGGCGGTAAGATGCTGGACCTCGTGGGGAGAGGGTGGGGAGCATTCCCCACTGTGGAGGAGTGTGGTGTTTGTGGAAGAGGAGAGGGTGGTATCCAGGATGGAGGTGGAGACAGCCTGTCCTCCTGCTGCTGCTGCTGCAGGCAACCAGGACATGCTCACCCTTTTTATTAATTAATTAATTAATTAATTTTTAAAGATTTTATTTACTTATTTATTTGACAGAGAGACAGTGAGAGCAGGAACACAAGCAGGGGGGAGTGGGAGAGGGAGAAGCAGGCCCCCCAGCCAAGCAGGGAGCCCGACCCGGGGCTCGATCCCAGGACCCTGAGATCATGACCTGAGCCGAAGGCAGACGCCTAACGACTGAGCCACGCAGGTGCCCCATGCTCACCCTTTTTAATGCCCTGTGTACAATGGTAGTTCCAGAATCTCAGGATAGGAGAGGCTTACAGGACTATTATTGGAGCTATATTTGTATAATAAGCACAGTGTTTACTTCTGTGTTTATTCCGAGTGGTTGGGAAGCTGATGGAGGTTATAGGGAGGGGGACTGAAGACAGTATAAACCGCCCCTTGGCACCTTCCCTTGGTTGTGCAATAAACATCCAAATATCTGAAGTCTAGCAATTAGAAAAACCAGATAATCCTATTTTTAAAAAGTGATTATTCTTATGAAACCAAGACCAGCTAATAACTAGGAACTTGCGATGGTATAAAGTCATCCTAAGCTCTTGAAAGAGTCATTTCAAACCTGAGCTCTTTGCCACGGTTACCATCCTTGTCTCCCATGTTACTGATACATTCTGGGATCCGGGCATGCCACTTCTGCCCGTGTCCCTGGGGCCGCTTCAGGACCCATGGATGATGACTGCCTTGGCACTGATGAGAGCTGCCGAGGTTCAGAGAAAGGAGGGGAGAG